AGTAAGGTAAAAAATGTCTACATCTTCATAATTGTATTGTATTTAGCTAAAACCCGATACATTGGCGAATTACGCAGATAATTCATGTTCGTACGAGCCGTGGAACAATTATTGTGAATCTTGTCTTGTTGAGGCGCGCGACAAATGCATATAAAAATAGTTCTTCAACTTACTTTATATTATAAATTTGACGAACATTTAAATTATCCTAATCCTTGGAATTGATTTGCTCCAGTTCAAACAATTTGTATGACACAAAACTTAGCGATTAAAAAGAGTGGCGGAAAGTTTCTTGACAGTTCTTTTTGCTCTACGCCTTTGACTTGCGAACTGATAGTACATCTAAATTTATAATTAATTTAACTTCTTTTTTAGTGTTCATAAGTGTACTTGTTTACCTATTTGAATAAAGATATTTTGAGTTTGAGTATCTAATAACTGACGGGCAGTCCATTTATTAGCCGCGGTAGAAAATACCTCAGCGTTTTATCGCCATAAACGTTGTTTGCTCTCGATGTACAGAGCCAGCTGGGGTCTGTACGTCATGCTCAACACTAGAAGTGCCCGATTACAAGACATTCATTTACTATTTCTGTTATGGGCAGTATAAATAAATAGGTAGTAGGGAAATATTAGGGCGTATAACCCGGCGATTACTTGTTCGATCAACAAAGATTGGGGAACTCCTAAATTAACCCCAAATCTTGTTCTACGTAGTAAGTAAATAGTATCTGGCCTTTTCTTAACGTGAATACTGATATTTTTTATTTTGTATGTGCAGTGTAACCGGTATTACAAATGCAAATACCACGCCCACGTCAACTTGATCTATTTGCATGTAATCAATTACACAATACATGATTTTGACGGCGGCATAGTTAGGGGACTTTTTGTACTAGAACCAATATCGCCGCTCTTGACATTTTATTTCATCCCAACGTGGGGCACTCGCCTCTCAGGGGACAATTTAATTGTTGAGGGGGGCTATTCAAAAATGTATTAACATTATTTGGAATTTCAATTTCTTATTGTGTTTTAAAAATTTACTTACTTGGGTTTCGTTAACATTTTCTAGTAATAAAAATAAGAGAACAATTCAATTGTTAATATTAAAAATTATGTATGTTACATTTTGGGTTCTCCAGAATTTTAGAAAGACTAACGTTGGAAAACACTGGATTACGCTAACTCTCCACTCTGAATAATACTTAAATCTACAGAGAGACTGAGTTCCTAATAACTGTATAATAATAATTTAGTTTAGAATGCTCAGAAAACTGAGCCTATCTTACGATACTACACCTTTATTTCGTCAGTTTTAAAATCAGTACTTTCCATAACATTCTATTATTAGCAGTATTACCCTAATAATTATCAAAACAAATGTTTATGAAGCGCAATAATGACTAAGCTAATGTTACAAATAGATGCTAATTTTACTTTGCATGTGATAATTTAAACCACTTCATTGAAGGCCGTGGAAGTTTCGAATTTTACAATTCGTATGGGCGTTTCTGACATAAGTATATGACTCAAATAACACATAAACAAAAGAAAATAATTGGTTGGAGAGAAAGAAGACAGTTCGATAGTCCACCGGGGCTTATAATATAGAATAGGGGGGAAAAACGAACCTACGGGGCCCCCATAAAAGGCAGTCATCGCAGCCCATGGACACCCATTTTAGTGGATGCGTTGCCGGCCTTTGAGGCCTAGGTTAGGGCCGCTAGGAGTATACTCTTTCTTTAAACAGATTTGGAGGTCGTATCTTCCAGGGAAGACCCCCACCGGGAGTCGATCCACAGTTCGCTAGTTCGCAAAAGAAAATGTCTTGGGAAAACCGTGGAATACTTCCAGCCATCAAGGATGCTGGACTAACTTATAACCTCTCTATTTAGCGCTATAGATATTTTGTGTGGAGTTTACGATTGCGATTCAAGCCCTCGTGTTCAATCAAAAAGTCAATTAAAATCAAAATACGTTTATTCAGTTTAGATGCGTAGTAGCGCATGCTCATGAATGTTAAAAACGTTTACAAAATTCGCGAAAGGACAAGACTACGCCATCCGTTCGCAAAACTACCAGGAGGCCATGTTCTGTGAAGAACGAGCAAAAAAGGACGCCAAGACGACCTCTCGCTAAACCTCACTGCCATTGCTACATAATCCAATTTATGAAATCCATAAATCCAATACACGCATTGCCTTAACCATAAAACCGTTATTAATAATCTGGTCTTATATATAGTTGCGCTTCAACAAAGGGCTTCTTAGCGTCTTAAGTGTCCGCTAGGTGAGGGATATCGGGTTCGATTTCCAGTCGGACCGCAAGGTTATGTAACTTTAAATTTGTTCTCTGCCTTTGGTAGGGTTGTATGGTGCTGGGGGTGTGCTTAAACCATACTGTGCGGGCACAAACACATATATAAATATGTTTTTTATATTTTTTTATTAAATGTTTTACTTACTGTGTATCGATAACAATTTCCTAGTAATTTCTTCCTAAAAATATATAATAGGTATCATTTATGTTTCTTCAATTTAACGATGACATTTTTTTAAATTAAAGAGTTTTATTAAGTCTAAAAAATGTGGGACATGGCATAAAATTTTATGATTTGGCATTCTGAAAAGGTGGGAGCTTGTAGTTTATTGTTTACCAGAATGCCAAATCATAAAATGACTGCTTCACGACTGATTTGAGAGCGACCGCCGATGCGAAAACCGCTGTGTGAGTTCGAAAAGTGAGTTACAGAATCGCAGGGCTGTAGTATGAAGTCCGATCTCTTTGGTCAGTTTAAAAGTTTTGTAAATTATTTAACTCAAATATATGTAGGTGATACGAAGTTCACCAATAATAAACCTTAATGTTCAAAAACCGCACCCATCATGCGTGACTAATCAGCATGCAAACGTCAAAATATAATTAAATACAGCTAGTCTATCTATAATGTCACAATATGTTAATGTATTTATTACATAATATATCCAAAAAATCAACAATCATTCTATGTCGGTATATCAAACTTATAATCTAAGAACTCCCTCACATCATAAAAGTACCGTTTATACATAAACATTATACATATATACTAATCCGATATTAGTTCGTTCGACCTATATAAATACTAACATTTCCCCAAGTCGGATGATGCAAACTGCGCAAATCGTGATGAGGCATCTTCGTGCTTGAGTCATCGTGTATGTCATGCCTTTACCAGAATTTCACGATTTCAAAATCTTACAAAGGCTTGAATCTTCATTAAATTGCCTCATGTAGTAGGTATTTTGTTTAGGTTTTTTATAACCACAATTGTGTTTATGTCTAAAAGTGATGATTCTTCCAGTCTTGTGCTTTGCGCGAGAGGCATTAAAGATGTTTGTCTGGACGTTGATTTTATTAAAGGAAGAACTTTCCAAAACCGTCACTAAAGCCAGAAAATATATTTTAATAGATCAACCATGCAGCTCCAAATAAGGCAAAAGATTGAAAGATTTAACAGAATTTAAACAATATTAAAATAGTATAAAAAATATAAATCAGTGGCGCTGTAACCTTTTTAGGTCTGGGACTCAGATTTCTGTATCTGTTTCATGAACATTTGTCAATCTAATAGGCAAGTAGGTGATCAGCCTCCTGTGCCTGATACACGCCGTCGACTTTTTGAGTCTAAGGCAAGCCGGTTTCCTCACGATGTTTTTCTTCACCGTTCGAGCGAATATTAATTGCGCACGTAGAAAGAAAGTCCATTGGTGCACAGCTAGGGATTGAAACTACGACCTCAGGGATGCGAGTCGCACGTTGAAGCCACTAGGCCAACACTACAGCAATATAAAAATATAGTCGGAGAAATACTAACTAGCTGTGTATGTCTTAGATATATCTTAGAAGTAATGCTAAGAAAATGCATGTATTTTAAACCACTAACGACTCTAACCTTGGCTTAATGGCCAGTCTTTTTGAATAAAAACTTTGCTGAAATTCGTACTTAAAACGAAGGTTGAAAGTAGGACACAGACGACTATTTTGTTTCGCATTTTATATGTTTATTTATTTTTAAACTATACAACTACCCTTACAGCTAATATCCAATGCGATAGTTGTGTAACTTAACTATCGTAACTTAGGATATTTAACGGTTTTTGCGAATTCGCTCTGGATTTGGAAACAATATGAAGCACTCTCAACGTCTTTGTTAAGGGGGTTTGGTGTTACAAATTCGTTCTACCCCTAGGGACTGAAAATAACCTTCGTTTCCGCCGTCTCAAATAGCTGTTTGGTGCCAATAAACTGAGTTCTTGCAAAGCGCTAGATTACTAATAATTCTCCGAAAACTGTAACAAGCTCTAACTCCCGTCGGTTATAGGGTCTGAAGTATAGATTTATTTCATCCACTGGATTTTGTAGACTGTACTAAATTAATACTTAAATATTTAAATTCTAAGTTTTTAAAGACTTAATCAAAAAATTCAATCGAAACTCATTTGTTTAAACCAAGTATAAACCCCTAAGTGTTTTTTGAGCCTGTATCTAAAGTTAATATATATTTTTATTTATTGAATGGAAAATATAAACGTGTTGTTACATAATACTATTGTGTTGTTAATAGTAGTTTGTACTGGTTTTACTTAGAAGTCCACTGTCACCTTCACAAAGGCTTCTATTATATGAGCCGTTTGCAAATGAGAGAGAAAATTTAATATACCAAGTTTGTCATCACACAATATTAGCTAAAAATGCTCACTTGTTCCATTTTTAAAATAGAATCTGTGTTGGTGTGGCCTGTGCATACCCACCATAACCCACATAACGGCGTCACCAGAAATCGCCCGAGGCAGGACACGGTAACAAAAAAAATTCAAAATTATTTATTTGTTTAGCTATTATACATAGAGTTCAGATTGTGGCCTCCCTAGTAATCAAAGACCTGTGACACAACAGCGTAGCCTTTACCACATCACGCCACGCGATCATCTTTGAAGTCACGGCCCCATGATATAATGATGGGGGATGGACCTTGGCACAGCATGGGCCTATTCGCCCTGGTTTGTAGTGTTGGGGAAGGTCGGTAGGTAGCTTGATGCGTCAGCATCCCTGCGAGCATTGCTGTTGGTGTGGTCTGAAGAAAGGCTTAGTCAACAGTCAGTGTTAGGCACGAAATCGTTGCTTCAGTTTTATCATTTCATGATCAACTTCTACATCTACATCACATCTACATCAATAACTACAAGCTATTGGTGTCGAACCAATAGCTTGTAGTTACTATGTTTAAGAAAGAAAAGCTGTGTAAAAAGGCTTACTATAAAGTAAACGATTATCTAGTTGATAAAAGGGCCTGGGACTACGTAGTGCTAGACAGGCTACTTCTAATTAATTTGGGATATTTGTTTTTTGATGTGTGTTTGATGATTTGCTATTTTAAAAGAGTACCGAGAGATTTTTACGCCAGCTTTTTCTCTCGGCCTACCCCTCTGTCTTCTTTGCCGATGAGTAGGGATGTCTTCCGATTCAAATTTATTGACGTGGAATACCTGTATCTTATTTTCCATAGTAAACATTTTTTTTTCTATGTGTTTAGAGTATATTGAGAGCACGGTCCCGACTGGGAAAATCAAAGATGTGTGTCAAGTAGGTACCGAAGGCTGGTCACCTAATTTAAAGATGATGTAAAAATCCAACCCAAGAAATATATTGCGTTGTAACAAACCCGATTGTACGTATATAGTTAATAAATACTAATATACCTTCTAGCGATGCTTATTTTGTAATCCTACAGAACCTTGCTTTGATCTTGAATTACTGTGTCACGTGGAATCGAGAACTCTGACAAGTTTAAGTAATGTCATGAACTAGACTACAGTTACGAGTTTCTTGTGGAACAGTCGCTTGTTCAAAACCTTCAAGTTAGTTGTTAGTTATTGATAGTTTATATTCTTGGGATGGGCTACTTCAATATATAAAGGTACATAATACTTATTTATTATAGAAGAAAACTCATAGACAATATAGAAAACCAAAACAGATTACACTCAATGCCAGAAGCGCGGCAAAAACTGCCTCAAATCTTAATCTTGTTACCGTGCAATTTTCATATATATTTTACGTGCGCATATTGTCTAGATTCAATATATACACAGTTAAAACACATAGGCATTAGCGAACAATGAGGGATAACCATAAATTTGCCATGAATAGAGCTATTTAAGCGTTAACGGCAAAATTGCGCGCAATATTAAATTACTTTGCGAGAATTTAATATGGGTGTAGTAAAACTTGCTACTTGTAGACTTTTTTTGTCGAAAGTCATATAATATTAGTTTCGTAGAAGTAAAGAGGGTCTTATAAAGGTAAAAATACATAAAAATGATAATTTTGGACGTCGGTACAGTCTCACTTCAAGTAATTAATAAGAATTATTTAGCTTAATAACAGAGAAACTTAGTGAAATTTAATTATTAGTTAACGGGACATTAAAAATGTATAGTAAAAGGTGTTCTAAAGCTTCATACTACTACTCCGTTGCACCTTGAGCGCATGGGCGGTGAGTGGTCGGAGACCAGTAGGTTGGACCACTGGAGCGACAGAGTGAAGGAGGACTGACTGGTTTTAATATAGGGTTATTTCACATCTTAATGAACCACTATAGTTGAAATCATACTTTCTTCATAATGGTTACTAAATAGTTAGTTAGAACGTATGTAAATGAATGTGACTAATGTCGGCGGAAACATAACATTGTATAAGGAGGATATCGTCAAGTTCACATCCTTACAATAACCTTATCTATTGAAGAAATCGGTCAAGGACTCGAACAACTTTTAAAATAGTATTATAAAATATTTAAACTTTGTTAGATGGCTTTTGTTTATAAATTTTTGACGTTTAAATTTTATTTTGTATACATTGGCATTGCGTTGGTAGGTTTTAGGTTTCGTCAAAGTAACTTAAATTTTTTCTATTTTTGTTAAAAGCAGTGTTGGCCTAGCAACTTCAGCATGCGACTCTCATCCCTGAGGTCGTAGGTTTGATCCCCGGCTATACATTGGTGCATTTCTTTCTATATACTCATTTAACATTCAAACGGTGAAGGAAAACATCGTGTGAAAACGGGTTTCCCTAGACCCAAAATGTAGACGGCGTGTGTCAGGCACCTACTTGCCTATTACATTGACAAATGATCAATCTGAGGCTCAGACCTAACAAGGTTGTAGCGCCACTGGTTTATTTTATTTATCTTTTTTTGTACTTGTAAAACACCTTAGATTAATTTGACGCTGGGCAAAAACAATTGGTAATAATATAGATTGATTTTATCTTGAATTCTTAAAGAAATAATGCTTAATTTATACAGCCTTTCGCAAACGAAATCGATACGGAGATTATTCCACCGGCTTCCATTTTAATTACAATTATCTACTCAAATTAATTGCACGTACACTTAACAATCAACATTGAACGCCCACATCAATGCAAACTTTGCACGTTTCATGAATTTTAATACTATTACGTATAGTATTAAAATTGCCTCGTCGTGTTAAACGCCTAATGAAATTATCAACTACAGTGGATTAAATTTGTATGTTTTTTAATGTAATTGCTAGATACCGGAGCCCTGCGGTTTCATCCGTATACCTTCCTATAGACCTGACACAAAAGAAATTAGACCCATAATTCTACATAAGTGTCGCATTAAGTCAGCTTTTTAGAAATACTATATAACCTTACCCTGTTTTGTTATCTAAATTGAGTCATTCTTAAGTTAAAACATGCGGCTAATTATGCCTATCTTATCTTTCCAGCCAGCACCGGAAGGACCATAGCTGCGCCTCAGTCAGAAGAACTACTACACATCACAACTGACCTTCAAACAGAGCGATATGAAAGACAACCTAGAGCTATGTACTTCACAAAAACTCCACAGTCACAGCAACCAGAGAACGTGACACAAAAGGAGCTGAAGATTTCAACTCCTGTCAACGTCACTGCGACCACAGAGACAATACAATGGACGCCAGTCAATGCAACAGATAATGTAACGCTCGAAAACGTTGCCAGCATTAACACAACAATTACCACAGACAATGTCACAGAAGCGCAGAATACGACATTCACAAAGAGGCGAAATTTGACGAGACCGGAATCAGGGAGAGCTGTTTTTATGAAAGACGATATTCCGATAGAGGGTCTGTCAGAAAGCCGGATAGTGACTGAAAAGCCTTTATCCCTAGAAACAGCATTTGTGCAGACGAAGATTCCAGCAAATATAGAGTCTTCTAGAAGAGTTATAGACCCAGAGGGAGGTATGGATACAGGAGTGATAGCTGGGATTTCGTTCGCTGCTCTGGCCTTAGCTGGACTAGCTGGCAGTACGGCATTTATTCTGTATAGAAGAAGATATTTAAATAAACCTCAAACATTGAATGACAAATGTTCTAATCCTGATTCCAGTGGATACTTAGATGACAGTACTATAAGAGTAAGTTAGTTTGTTCTATGAAATTAGAATAATAGTATTCAAAATAGTCATCGAAAACCTTAGTAAAAATTTGGGTATCAAACTTACTTTTTTTATATTTTAGTTTATAAAGATGGCAATATCAGCTACTCTTACATAAAACTGTATGTTTTAAAGAAAATTGGGTATGAATCTTACTCCTTCTCTAAAATCATTCATATTTTTATTTTTTCAGGATAACTCCGAAGAAATGTACAGTTTGGACAACGATTCATTCTTGAACTCTCTTGAAGCCATGACCATCCAGAACTACTGGACAGACACAGTGAAACACACCAAGTTATAAGATATTGTAACATAATAATACTATGAGATAATAATACTTTGTATATATGTAAGTAATTGTAGCATTTACATTTAGGTTCTTGGGGATTCATAGACTTAGCGCGAAGTTTGTCTCCGTATGTCAAAATCCAAGACATTTTGGACGTGCGGAAATCAGACTTAGCGCTAGCGTTTCTGACTATCACCCTTCATGTCACATATACACAAAAGTCAATCAAACCTTTATCAAAATAATAGAATTATCTGTCGATTGCCCATTTTATTATTTGCAATTTCAGGTTAGGAAAAGTTAACAGCTTCTCAAAAATAAGATTCTGTATTCCAAAATTGCCTAATTATAGTTTAATTACAAATGATTTAAAGTTAATTTAGCTCATTTGATTTATCTACGCTAAGTAGTACATTTTAATGTCTTTATCGGTTCGGTTTTCTAAAAGTCAAAATTATTATTTTCAATTTTAAGAAAGTTTAAAAGATACTCAGAAATGCTGATGTTTCGAAGTAGGTTGTTGAGTGACTTTTGTGTATTATTTTGTCTTGAGTATTCAAAAACCGCGCTTTTTTACCAAAATGGTGGTTGGTGGGAAAGAGAACCGGCGTTGGATTTGAGGTAGCAGCAATTCTAATCCTGTTTTAACACCGTTATGTCTTAAACATAATATAAAAAAATTGAAAATTTTTGTGTATTAATGAAATAACGTAGCAAATAAGGATTAAATTAGTTTGCAAAACCGCCACGCCGATTCTCTTACCGCACAGACTAGCAATTTTTATCTTTATCTTCACGTATTAACAGAAGGTATTTTATACAAAAGAGGTTAACGTAACCTTTATCGACCTTTATTGAATAAAGGTGATGAGGTATACCTACCTATATTTTATTTATTAAATATATAAAAGCGTGCAACATTGGAGTCCTGTATGTGAATAAAAAAATCTCCAGGTCAAGTCTGATAATTTTGATAAATGATTGAGGGTTAAAACGCTATAAAACCTGATCTTGTCGCTTATTTCGTGTTAAAAATCACAAGCGATGGGGCAGTTGTTTTTTTTAATAGACTATCTTGGTTGGGAAAAGGCCCTATACAAATAAATTTTAGTGCAGGAGTGATCGGCAATCGTGTATGCTATAAATGTAATTGACTCGCTCGTTTGGTCACGCGACCTTTTCAATACAAATTAACGTATAAATTATTTTTGTCTAAGGCCTCTAACGATTTGAAATTAATGAATTACACACTTACATTCTAAAACGTTAATTAAAATATAGTCTTCGGAGCTGTCAACCATTTTTTTCTCTATGACGTTTGACATTTTTGACAACTCAAGACTATATTTTAAGAAACGTTACCTAAAACCTGCATAATTTAGAAATAGTGATTGATCTCAGTATTCAAATTAGTTTTAGTTCTTAAGCATACATATTAATTTAGCTTTAGTTTAAATTTAATTGTGATACTTTGCATAACAATAGTATGTGTTTGCACTTATATCCATAATGTATTATTTATATAATTATTTTGTAAATAAAATATGTGTATATTAAGCCTTTAGAGTTACTATTTATAACTCTAATTATTAATGAGAACCGGCTATTCACAATCACCGGCAATATCACTAAGGGTACTTTGACAGTATGAAGTTTATGACTTTAAGCTTTAGGCTTTAAAAAGCATTATGGCGTTAAAAAACTTATAATTAATTTATTAAAAAAATCAATAAATCAACACAATACAGTCACGAGATTAGTCGAATCGACGAAGACGAATGCTTGTAAATGATGATTTCGCCTAATACAAATTGTGTTTTTTTTTAATTTCGTCATTGACTTAATATTGTAATTTGATATTTTCTTCAGCTACTTAACAGAATTAAAAGAAACAATTTGTATAGGTTCTAAAGTCATCAATAAATCTGAAAAAGATTTTATTAATCATGGAATTGTTTTTGCATTAAAGTGGTAGTGACTCCCTCTCCCGTGTGTCAATGGCGGGGTCTTAGCTTCAAAGTTTCTAAAAGATGTAATTTGTTTGTTTTTAAAGCTTTATTTACTGAAATTTAAGTTTTTTTTGTATCGCTTTCCGTCCACGCTTTTTTGCATTTAGTGTTTTTGGTAAATTAATACTTTTTTATGTTGTTATAAATTAATTTATACTTTAGAAATCGTACTTATTATTTCGAAACTGGATGAATTTTTATATTCCTGCAAAATGAAATTTGACAAACGCTATGTTTATGAAACGTGAACGTTTATATTATACCCATATCACGAACAGTGTGTAACAACATTGAATAGTTTCTGCAGTAGAGCAGCCCAAATTTGTATGATACATTTAGGTAGAGCTCCTAAATGAAATTAAATAAATAGATACCAATTTTATGGTATTCAATGGTTGCGAGTAAACTATTGTGAAGTTCATGCTAAGGGTTGTTACAAGGGTTAACCCTCAGGTTTTGAGTCTTTCAACACAACACAATTTTTATGGCAAAAACGTTTAGGATTTGACGTACAAGAGTGGTACTATGCGAAGTCGTGCCTCATAATCTTACCCTGATACAAACTAGACTACAGTGCGTTCACATACATTATATATTAGATATTCTGAAACTAAAAACTTGCTTAATAATTATAATTATTACTTCTACATAATTAATTGTTACATTGTTCTTAGAACTTATTTACATTAGTTTAAAAGCATTAAGATCATTTTGAAGCTATACAAAATAAATATTTTTTTAAATATTACATTAAAATAATTCTTTTAATTTAAAATTCTTTTCTTGAAGCCTTAAACATCACAACCAATATATTCACTGTTTTTGATATGTTTTTAAATCGGGGTTGTGACTATAGTTTTGCTTTTTAGTGTTTCATTATAACTCATATCAAGTTTAAATGTACAAAGTATATATGAATTTCTAAAAAATCATCAATAATGTAAATTTATAATAATGACTCGTTTATAATTATAAAAATAATTGTGTATAATTATAAAAATAATTCAAATCATAAAATTTAATATAGATCTCTACTCAAGCTGATTTGTATAAAATATTAGTTTAATTTTTGCTAAGTTTATAATTACAGTAAATATGGATTTTTTATTTATTATAAAGGTCGTGAATGTTAAAAATTCTTTTAATTCCTATTTAAATATTCATTTCAATATCATGAGCTTAAAACAAACTATGGTTATTTCTTGTAGGAAACCCCATGTATTGTAAGGTAGATTTAATGTTATATCTATATAGATGAATAATATTGAATAAATTTATTTTTACTGGCATAGAGGCATCTTTTATTTACAAAATTTAACTTTGTAAGTCCTTCAACTTAAATTTAACAGTGCAAGTGTATTTGAATTATACACAAGCACGAACATGCATCGTTTCAACTTTGAATAATAATAATTTGTATAGTACATACATAAACAAGCAATTGTGTACGATAATATACAAAGACGAGACGAATCTATCGTTGAATTTGTGATAACGGTACGGTGCTGTCCTTCATTATCGATATACCCAAAAGTGCACTTCTGGAATACGACCAACAACATACTGATTGAAATTTGAAATTCGTCAGTTTTCTATACCTACATACCTAGCCTTTAACCACAGACTCGGTTGTGATAGAAATACCTCTATTTTAGTATTCTCGTTTGTAATGCCATAATGATAGTCTGTGGTAAATTGTAAACTGTTAACTGTGTCATCATGACATATAACATATTTGATGTTATTACACGTGCGCGATAAGTTGGGACCTCCTAGGAATGCGGCTTCCCGCCCGCTTCCCCTGCACTTCCCCGATGGCGCCCGTATTGTACCGTTCGCATCGCAAGTGTTTTACTAGAATTTTTAGTCTCGTTCTGGCTTACGTCACGTAACGACGCGCTCTGGAATCCTTTTAGTTTCGTTTGTGTTATTGTTTTGTTGTTGTAGTTTTCGTTGTTATAGTTCTTGTTAAGTTTTTTTTGTTATCATTATGAAGGGTAAACCTTTACATAGCGGAGAAAGAAATCTCGTGCTAAAAGTGTTATAGTTTTTTGAAAACGAAAAACGGAACAAACAGTTTTGTGTACCTATTCACCAGGTAGTAAAAAGAACATGCATGGCAACGGGAATATCGAAAACCACGTTGATGAGAATAAAAAACGAAGCCAAGCGCTTACAAAATACTTCACCGACACCAGGTACTTCTACAAGTTCTACGCCAGTAAGTGAAGTGAAATTGTCAACACCGGGCAAAAAACGGAAGCCAAAGTGTAACCGTATCCAATTGGACAGTTTTGATTTATGTGCCTTGCGAAATATCGTAAATAGCTTTTACACTGTCAGGAAAGAAATACCTACTTTAAATAAAATATTATCTGTGGCTAAAAGAGACCTCAATTTTCAGGGGCAAAAAACATATTTAAGAAAAGTGTTAGTAGACAAATTAGGCTACAAATTCAAAAAATGTAAAGATAAAAGACATTTTCTTACTCAAAAACTAGATATTCGAGCTTGGCGGGCAAGGTACCTACGACGTCTAAAGGAAAATGATGACTTTAGATTAGATATTGTACAGTAGAACCTCGTTAAATTATTTGACCTCTGTATCTCGAACATAGGAACGTTTTATTTTATAACCTTTACAACTTGATCATTTGGAATTTATTATCTCTATTGTTTGAACAAAAATAAGTTACCGACTTTAAGAACTTGCCGACAATGTGAGTACACTATTGTTTCTTAGAAAACATTTTAGGAGTATACAATAATAAATTTATGACTCATGGAAACACGTGTTTGCTTGCTTTGTGTCAGGTGTTCAATTTTTTTTTAAATTAAAATAAATTTATAAACTTAAACATTGTATTATTATTCATTACAAAACGTTACCTTCCTTCACTTTCTGTGATACATAATTAAATAGTATTAAATTAAATAGTATTGTATTCAAATAGTGTAAAAAAATAAAGATAAGATAAAAAGCAGCATCATGCCTGAGTAACATAGTAAATTAGGTTAAAAAAAAACAAGTACGAAGCCGCGGCGGCTGCTCGATGTGTTCGCTTTTTTGCGGACGGTACAAACACGCCACTGTGACGTCACCGCGCTCAGGTCCCAACTTATCGCGCACGGGTTGTATTTGATATTTCATAATTCATATTTGTTTTGGTTTCTGCGACTTGTAGAGTTTTGAAATTTATAAATTTTTGCATCCCAAGCGAAGCACTTGCAACAATTTCTTAACAAAATTAGAAAATGGTTAAAGTTTGGTATATGGATAACGATACCACAAGTGACCAACGCTTGGAACATCACAGGAATCCCCCAGAATATTTATCTCTTGATGAACTAGTTCAGAAGACCGGCGTAGAATATTACAGCGTAAGTTGGGGTTATCTAATAGTAATCAAGGTCAAGAACTGAATGATTAATTATATTTTTATTTTCGTGATATTTCTATTTTTTTTAAATTTATTGTAATCCACATTAAATTAGTTTTCTAAATACGTATGTTTCTATTTATAGCTAAATGTGGAGTCATACACCACAGACGGGGTTCTTGAACAAATAAAAAAAGAACGAGGCTACACTTATGAAGATGAAATCACCTGCTCGGAAAAGTGTCTAGCCAACTATGAAGAAAAGCTTAAATCCTTTTATACAGAACATCTGCATACTGATGAAGAAATACGGTAGGCCTTCATTGAAATTTCTAAGTTACTGTGCAACCTCGATAGTTCCCTTTATTGGTGGGTAATGTTCGACTGCCATGGTACTTTTGTTGGCCAACCAGGATTGTATGTCAATATTAAAAAATCATAAAGTAGAAACAAAACATTTATGACAGTAGACATAAATTTTTTTGTCTAGTTTAAGGTTTTAAAATTTGAAATCATCATATTAAAACATTATTTTTGTATTCTTAAAGTTGAACTCGCTCCAGCCTATCAGAAGAACCAATGGATGGAAATCTAATAATTTACATGAGTTTAATTCTAGGAAACTCAACTTTTTCTATCCCAGCAATATAATAGGTGATTACTATGTGTAAATATTCAATAGGGAATAGGATTATTTTACAATTTTCTAGTAGATTTTTGGCCATCCTATGTTTGTGTGTTTTGAGTGACCAAAGAGAGCATCCACATTGCCATAGAATTTAAAAACAATTATAATAGAATTTAATGAATAATTTCAGGCTAGTCATTGAAGGCTCTGGTTACTTTGATGTACGAGATGGTGTAGACCAATGGATACGCATAGCTGTGTTTCCAGGAGACCTCATCATAATACCAAGTGGAATCTACCATCGATTCACACTAGATTCTAATGTAAGTTATAAAATATTAATAGTTTTTGTTCAAATTTGAAAATTTTAATCATTTACCTTTTATGTTATGAGCATGAGCTGAGTGCCAAGGTTGAAAATAAATCAATAATATAGGTGTAAAAATGTGTCACTCATGCTTAATTAGCAGAACACTTAGTTGACTTATATACTTAGTATATTATATTTATCAGAATGAATTAGATAAAATTAAAATTTAGCAGAAATAATTTATGTGAAAGTGAGTTTGTGTCTCTCCTTCTGAAAAAGATCAAATAAATCTGAGGGTCCAGACTCACAGACATGAGCTCCATTATGTTTTTATTAATCCCTTGAACATTTGTTTAATGATACAATGTCCCTTAGTTTTACCCTAGTAAATAATTTCGTAAATTCTCTTATTTAGGCCTTGGTAATACATAATTCTGAACGTAAAAATCTATTAAAACTAATAGTTCCTAAGTTTAAACCACGGACAAACATAAATATATTTTTTTTTTTATTCTACATAATAAATTTAATCTATACAATAATTTTTTCAGAATTACATTCGTGCCAAGCGCTTCTTTGTTGGTGAACCGGTGTGGCTCCCATACAACCGCCCTGCTGATGATATGTCCTGTCGTAAGGAGTATGTCGACAAACTGCAAAAGGGATTTGTATCAGTTAATTAAATTAAATATTTTTGCCATTTGGGTACTAATGGGTCAGTATGATGTAACTTCATGAGTTATAAACCACACGGAACATATAGAAGGGGTTCTTTTTAATGTTCTTTAGTCTGTAACATTTTTAATGTTTCCTATTATCTAGTTCTTTTGCTTTTACTGATTCAGAGTCTGCCTCTTCCTTTTATAATAAGGGCTGATTTAGATTTTTAGTGGAGCTATCTGCAGCTCAAGAATGGTAATCAAAATCGATGCAAGAGGCTCTTGTATTTTATTATCCGCCTGCTTTTTGCGAGAGGTGAGACGGGGAACACAGCACAAGTAGCATCCCATACTATAGCATATCATCATCACGCTCAAACATTTATTCGAAGATAACTCATAATAGAGACTTGTGTTATGATCTGTCTCTGTGTCTTGACTAAATTTTATCAAAGTCTTTTTTTAGTTCGGCATACTTGAGAATTTTTATGTCTGGACTAAATAAAACATTTAATTAATTTCGGCTATTGCCTTTATTCTGTTCAGAGTAAATGTATGACCTGCCGAATATGTTTTCATCTGACGTAATTAATACGTATTTTCCATTACTATGGGCAAGAGTTGGAATTTATGTTAAACCCTGTATCATCTGTTATGTTTACAGTCGAAGTATTGTGTTTACTTTAAACTAATGTTCTAACATCTATTACCAATATTCAGGTCATTCAGTAGTTTGTTGTTTTAGGACAATACTAAGTAAGGTGCTTTCATCAAACAAGGCCCTTTTGATCCTTTCTGTAATTTACAAGAAGAATTCTATTTAATATTCCCAGTAACCCATCGTATTATTAGATAAAACTACTCGAATACATATTGTATATTCTGACTTCATGTTTTTTCCAGATTTGCAGGCTTCCATTTTCTTCTGCACTTAATTATGACTGACAAAATTGTTTGCAGTCAAAGAAGTTCAGTAACTTCAATATAGATTTGGTTTGACAATTATTGTGAACTTGTAAAACATTTACAAGTTCATTTATTAATTTATTTTTTTTTATTTATTACAGAAATACATACATTATCCTTACAGACTATGCCAATACGATAATGTCGTGAAACATTAAATAAAATGTAATAAAGTAGGTACATATATAATATTAAACACATAATATACACAATATCGCTACTGTGAATTCACTCTGCGAACATATAAATATGTCGATAGTGTCGGAGACAGCATTCAGTAGGCACAACGTCTTTGATAACGGGGATCTGTGCAACAGACTGGTTCTTGCTCTTGGTATCGCAAATAACCTAGGCCTTCGCCGTCGCACATATCCCATAGGTACTAAGAAACCCAGTTCTTGGAGTACACTTGGGTTGCACACAACACCCCTCAAGACTTTCAGTACGTAGCAGGCCAACTGTAAGTCCCGTCTGGTTTCCACATAACTCCTTATATTATCCAAACCTAACTTAAAGTGTTATTAGCTATTGCTACAAAGGTTTTATAAATGATTCTACACCTGTATCCTAAAGTAGAGTCGAGCCTCCAAGATTCCCAAATGTCAAACATGTATTGGATTTGACGTACTAACTAATCTAGTAACACCAACATTAATATTGTATATAAAATCTTTTAAAACGCTGTCGAATGTTACAGAGTACCAACCAAATGTTAAGTAACGGCCAACATATATTTTTGTTGCTCCTTATGGTATTTTAGTTCACAAATTAATATTAAGATATAGTGAGAGTTTATAATTGGTATCAATGTAATCTGTAATTTGTTAAACAAAAGCGTTACATTTATTGTTAAAAATTAAATCAGTGTAATTCCACTCTTTTAAAGTATTCTTTTGTCTCTTTCTGTCTAATTTTGTGTATCCTGTGATGGTAAGAGACATAGTGCTTTAGTTAAAACGGTGTAATTAGGCTGATATCAGCCTAATTACAATTACAATTAAGACAATATTGTCTTTATAAGGGGATCTTTATGTAAATGTTATATACGAATCTATGTATATTTTATATTTTTAATATATGATTGTTAATTATTAATTGGCTGTTTTATTTCGTCTCCAGTGTTACTATATTAAACCTATTTTACCTTAGAGTTGTTATTAATATTTGAAATTGAATGATTTTAGTAAATGCATGACCACCTTGTTTTTAGACATTTTAATTACATATTTACACATGTTAATGCATTTATATTCAATATAAAGGACTTCTCACACTTGGTGTATCAAATGATAATCTTTGGGTATGTATGTAATTCACTAAAATCCAACTTAGCTAGCAGACATTTACAGAGCATACGGAACATAATTTTGTTAATAATTTCATTACATAAGTGTAGCATAACACATCAGTAGTTATTTCATAGCTGTGAGTGATATCGTTTTAAGAAAGAAACATAAAGAAAAAAATGTTTAGGAGTGCGCAGTGTTAATTTGGCCTTGGAGGATGTGGCCAATATTTAAGACTTTGTTTGTTGGAACAGATAAGTTCAACTGTTCAACAGAGAGAGAAACTAAGAAACTCGTCCTTTGTAATTTCTGTCCATTTCATCCGCAGCATTCTACGTGTTACATGTCAAAGGCCACGAGTTAAGTTGGAGTTTTTATGGTCTAAGCTTGACTTCTAATACAATACTTGCGGCCATATGTAACGTAAGAAAGATAGCGGTATGTCAGAATCTTATTCATTTTCATAAAGGAGGCTCGCACTTTCTCTGTCTCCCATTCTCAGTTTTCGGCGAAAGGATGCACCCCACACGCCACCCGCATCGCTTTATGACCACAGGATCTGAGTCCTCACTGTTTCCCTAAGGGGAAACTATAAGTAGGTAGTTGCTGTTTGGTTACAATATAATCTATATTAATTCGCATATCATTAACAGCCATTTTAATTCCTTTTAAAAGCTACATAAGATTAAGTAGTGCAATTTATTCATGGAAATTTGATGACAATTTTTTTATGAGATTACCGGTTTAATCATTTAAAAATTAAATTTTGATGTATAAACGCTTTCATTCGATAAGTCTATGTAATTTTAGATGTTGGATAATGTTATCTACAATGAAATTTATTGAATAAAAATATTTCTATAATTTATGCTCACTCGAATATCATGAAAATTATAGACACAAAGGAGTATGTATATATCTTATTTTCAAAGACTAAAATATGACAAATTGTCAAATACATAAAAATATCCAATTTAAACCTCAAACATTTAACATAAATAAATACTCCCAAAACCATGATTTAGTTAGAAAATTGTCATTTCAATATGAAAATGAATCGCACTGTGGAAAGGAATTTAAAAACATAAACAAAGGTAATGGAAATATCTTTCATAAGGAAATTTTAATTATTTAGTAAAGTCAACTTTACGGTACGGGCCCGGAATAATTAAATGCCAAAATGTGTCTGATAGAAACGGCCACCTTTTTTAAGCGAATTAAACTTAATAGAAGGTAAAAATTAACTTTATCCTGGAGTAGTATCACCGTAAGTTCGAATATAATCATAAATTATGAAATTAAGCAAAGAAATTCTAGGCGAACTCTCGAACTATAAGACACATTATATTTATTTATTTTATTCTACAGCTAATTTAAATTATATACCTATACCAAAAAAATATGGAATACATAATATACAAAACGGTCAAACGAACGAAACTTAGAAAGGAAAAAATCAATTTAAATTATTAAATACATTTAACTAATTAATACCTAATTCGAGTGTGTTGTCTGCTAGAAGTATTTCGGTTCCTTGGGATTCAAGATACGCTGCAAATTTGATATAATTTTACAGACGCAGATCAATAAACCAGTAGGTTGAGCGTGAGAATCACAGCTTTGATTATAATTATGTGATATAAGCATAAATAAATTTACTTTCTAAGTGCGCATTTAACACGTTTTAATTTCTAGCGAGTGTGGTGAAGGTAATACATCGTGAGGAAACCGGCATGCCTTAGACCTAAAAAGTCGACGGCTATCACGAAATACATATACGGAAATCTAAGGCCAAAGGCAAGAGTGCCACTGGTATTTTTATATCATCAACAGACCTGACAAATGATAGGATTAACTGTAGATATCATAAATTTCTGCCGAAATATATTTCTTACTGTATACATTTATGTAAAACTTGAGTCATACATTACATTTCTATTTATTATCAAATTAAGGAAATTTTTAGCGCCTGACAATTTACAGTAGTTTATTTATTTAAATATCTTTATTTTTTATCATATTGGAACGGAAATTACCACGGCGTTCTTTTAAATTTTTACGTCGGTTCTCGCCTGTCGTAAAGAATCTGTTTAAGTCCCTGATACAAACTGTTTTAGGTAGCCAAAATTTCAGCAAAGGCAAAAACCAAATTACATTACAGATATGATTTTATGGAACCCGTTCACCCAGCGGTCACGGTCCCTTTGCGAAACCGGAAAACTACTAAAGAGTTATACTGTCTTTGAGCTAACAGATCTTATCATCTCATGTATAAACTCACGTTTTGAGTGATCCCTAATACAAGAGACAATTATGCAAATAATATAATAAAAAGATTTTATTTGAGATTATATTCATTTTTTCAAAATTACAGATCACCTGCCGACCTAAAGAATCATGATTATTTTCATTTTATGGTATGTAGCCATTGCATACAGCTTCTACAGGTAAGAAAATACTATCTGTTATAAACGGTACATTACTTAAATGTAGGGCTATTATGTAAAGCGGATATTTCTAGTAACGCAAACTAGTAAGAAAACTCTATTTTGAAATAGGGATTAGCTTAAACGTCTCTTCTGAAGTTAAGGAATAAATATGCAGATCGAATACAACAAATTAAACAACACAGGAAGAATTACATATTTTGTCTAGCATTTTTAATGTTAATGAATTTTATTGTTGACTCGTTTTTTATATCATAATAATGACCTCATAGATTATGTTAAAAGAATAATTTTCTGTCGGTATTTAATAAAATACCAACCTTTA